ACAACAAAATAACTAACACAAAATATAAAACTTTCAGTTATACTTTCATCATATATCAGTTGCTTTTCTGATTTTCATTTAATTTGTTAAAGGGACAGTCCAGTGTTTCACAAATAAGTGATGCTGTCAGAGGCTTTTAGGCTCCGCGCATGATGCGATTATTTGCTCTAAATTGCAGGAGCATATCAGAGGAACTTTATCTTGCTGCGAGAAAGGTTTGTTTGACATCTCAGAGCCAACATGGCGTCACCGTGTGCCCAGTTTCACAGAGTCTGCGATCGATTCCACTGAAGACCAGGCCACTGCTGACCGACAGCTCGAGCCATCATGGCGGAGGCGGAATCAGAGCAGGTAATCAGACAGCTAAACATAAGAAGCATTGCGTGTTATACTCTCATCTGAAACGGATTTATAATTACTATTTTGCGCTCTCCGAAAGGTCATCGAGAGCAAGATCGAAGAAGCACGACTCGGTTTAAAAGCGAGTGTGTTGAAGGTGAGTTAGCAGTACGCTAAGTTCACAAGTGTTGTGATCAATAACATTAATTCTCATCTCATAATCGCACATTAATATTAAATATTAGAATATCGACAGTGACTTTTAAGACCTTCGTGGATCACGTGTGTTTTGGGGAAGCTTCATTATGAGAGCAGATGTTTAATATTTCACATCACAGATGTTGGATTCAACTGTTTTTGATGAATGTTTTAATGATTATGTTGTGTTTTGCGGTTGGAAATCTCGCACTAGTGAGAAACTAGTAATAAGTGCAAAACTTAGCCTTACAGTCTTTGCATAAGCGGTTTATGATATTTCCTGTAGCTTGAAATTATGTTCTCATATAATAATTAGTGCTGTCAAATGATTAATCGCGATTAATCGCATCCAAAATAAATGTTTCTTGTTTACATAATATATGTAAGTGTACTGTGTTTATTATGTATATACAAATGCACACACATACAGTATATATATTTTAAATATGTACATGTATATACATTTATATATTTATATTCTTATGTTTTACATTATACATAAATATATTTGATATATAAACAACATATTTTTCTTAAATATACACATGCATGTGTTTGTATGTAAATATACATAATAAATCTACACAGTACACACACACATATTATGTAAACAAACAAAAAAATATTTTGGATGTGATTAATCGCGATTAATCATTTGACAGCACTAATATATCTTCTAATACTTTTAGACTTCACCTTTGTGTGTGTGCATGTTTTATTGTGTTTATATATATATATATATATATATATATATATACACTTTAAAAAAAAAAATATATATATGCATATATGTTGTGGGTAGATGTTAGGGTTGTGACGG